CCTGCGTATCTTCTATGCAAAGTTTCTCTGATTGGGTTCTGTCTATGGTCACTGATAAAGCTGAAGCTGCAGAGATCATACAGAAACTTGTTAGCTGAATAGGGCAATACATTATTCTCTGTGCAGCGTCCGTAGGCCTGGATCCAGAGGTCCCACTGTGTGTGTGTGGAAGGCACTTCTGGTCATGAGGAGTTCCATCTGTAGCTCCACTTACCTTCTGAAAGCTCTGGAGAATCTTGTGCCCAGCTGGAGCTCTTTGAGTGTGGGTGGAAAAGAAGAGAAATCTTGTGCAGCATGATTTTGCAATACGAAACAGGCAATGTTGCACTTATCAGAGGCATGCAGGAAAGTTTTTACTGCGCCTAAGCTGTGCAGCATTTTCAGTTGGAATACATTTCTTTTCTTTTCTTTTGGGCTGGCAATCAGATACGCCCTGCAGCGTCAGACTCTTGTTTGCTTTGTCTCGCTGCCTTTTCAGGCACCAGGTGTGAATAGGCGTGGCAGGATCAGGGGTTGGCAGTGAACACTGGCAGAACGAGGTCTTGTAGGGGAAAAAAAAGCCGACCAAAGTGCACAGTGCACAGAATTTGTAAGGACTATGAGGTCAGGAACCAGAGATCAAGCCAAGCTAACCATCCCAACCAAAATGGCAGGGTAATAAACAAGTGAGTTCACAGTGAAATCTCTGTGAAGAAGAAGAGGCATGTTTCAATAATTAACAAGTCAAGCAAGGGATCAGGGATAATACACAGAGTAAGTATGAGAGAAGGCATACATTACAGTGGTACCTCTGGTTATGTACTTAATTCTTTCTGGAGGTCCATTCTTAACCTGAAACTGTTCTTAACCTGAAGCACCACTTTAGCTAATGGGGCCTCCTGCTGCCACTGCGCTGCCGGAGCATGATTTGTGTTCTCATCCTGAAGCAAAGTTCTTAACCCGAGGTACTATTTCTGGGTTAGCGGAGTCTGTAGCCTGAAGCGTATGTAACTCAACACACATTTTTGTAAGCACTTATCCGTAATATAATGGAGCTTTATATGTTATTTTTACTACTATGTGCATTTTTATGCACAATTTACCCCGATACATGCATTATTGTATGAGTTTTGGGAACTGCATTGCAAAATTTGAGTGCAAATTTTGAACAATAGCTGCATGGCGAATATGTAGACAAATACCACCTTCTTCTTGGCAGTACATTCTTCTTAAATGTGTACTGTTAATCTTACCCCAAATAGTACCCTACCTGCTGACTCTTTGCTTTTCCCTAGCTTCCTGGCAGGTGGATCACTGGGGAGATGGCTGGGAGGTCAGTGGAATGCAAAGACTGGTAGCACTGGCTCTGCCAATGCTGATGCACAACATTGGCCTCCTGGTCATCTTGCCCCTGACCCACCTGCTGGGAAGCTAACATAGCAGCTCCACCCCATCTGGTGAGCTGTTCCTGCATAGCTCAGTGGTATGCTTTGGATTCAGAACATTCAATATGCACCATCTCCAGTACAGTGGTACCTTGGTTTACAACCATAATCCGTTCCGGAGGTCCAGTTGTAGACCAAAACAGGTTGTAACCCAAGGTGCGCTTTCGCCAATGGGGCCTCCAAAAAAAGCGGGGGTCGTAATCCAAAAATAGGGACACACACTTCCGGGTTGTAATCCAAAACAGTTGTAATCCAAAATGGTTGCAAACCAAGGTAACACTGTATTTATTACTGATCTATGTATATGGTGTAGCAAGTGTATCTGCAGTCGCCTATTTTGGGACTTACAGGTGAGCTTCCAAATCAAGGAGGTGACTCAGGCTCAGAAACAAACATAATCTTCCTATTCTGGTAGAAATCAGCTGTGCAGGACACTGATTGGCTAGCTCTGGTGACAATCACAAATCCATGTTCCTCCCTTCTCTCCAGTCACCTGTCCAAAGTGCTGATTGGCCTGCATCTGTGGCAATCATGAAGTCATTCCTCCTGCACAAAACAATGCTTTAAATGTTGTTTTGAAAGTGCTGAATAAACTTTAAAATAACTGAAGGCCACCTGAAAAAATCTTTTAAAAAAACCCTTGATGGACTATATGGAACTGGCGGAAATGACTGGCAGAATCCGAGACCAGGGAGAAGAGTCGGTGGAAGAAGACTGGAATAAATTTAAAGACTATTTACAGAAATACTGCAAAATTAATGAATGTTAGAATGATGTCGGAATGAAGTTAAGTGGTTTTAGCAGCAATGTTACAAAGGAGTATGTAAAAATGGATTGTTAATAGGTCAGAATCTAAAGTTATAATATATTAAGATAAAGGATTAAGATAAAAACAAAGAGGGAAAGGATTTGCTGAATTAACTAACTGAACTGGAATACAAAAAAGGGAGGTGTGAGGAGGTCAGGGAAACAAGTAAATGAAAGACAAGACATGGAAAGATTGATTTGTTTTTAATTATTTTTATTTTTCTGTATTTTGTATTTTCTTTTTTCCTTTTTTCTTCTTCTTATTTTTGTAATCTTTTCTGAAACTTTAATAAATATCATTTTAGAGAAAAAATCTTTAAAAAAACCAAAACCAAAAACCCAAAAGCCTACAGGGAAAGGAAATAAGAAAATGCACACTGATTTCCAGAGGGGTTTATTTCTGTACGCAGCCAAAAGACTCTTAGATAGCAGCGTGGTTAGGAAAGTCTATTGTGAAGAACTTGCAAATAAAGTCAACAGCACTGGTCTCGATAGACCACTAGTTTGACTTAGTAACGTCCACATTAAATCTAAAGGCTCACTATATTGTGATCTGTAGCATACAGAAAAATTCAATAGAAGTCCTAATAGGAAAGACAGCAACTAACGAACCACTACTCCTTCAAGGCTTCTTTTTCCTTGCCAACTATGCTCCCTTTTACAGAATATTTGGAGAAATATTCAGGCACCCTCCTGATGATACATTTGCTAATCATATCGAGCACGAGTCCCGCAGATTAATAATACCATGCCAAAATATTTCTACAAAGGTATATAAACTTGGAGCAGCTGGAATTTTTTAATTTTTTTGCCAGATTAGCTATATTGTTTCTAATTTGCCATTTTTCTTAACGAGCCTGCTGGATGAACTGAAGCAAGATTACAATCACGATCGTTTGCCAGCATTTGAATACTCACTCGAACAGCCTCGTTCTCTTGTATCATATATTTACACCATAGGAAAATCAATTCTGTTTAATCCTGGTACTGCATTCTAACATTTTCTTCCCAAGACAACTTAAGTAGTTTTATTATACCAATTGCAACCCCACAGGGAACACACACAAAAGTTGCAAATTTAAATGTCTATTATTTTAAGGGGTTGCTGGAAAATTGGCAGTATATAAGCAGACAAGTGAGAGGTGTGAGATGATGAGGATCTCGCATGACTCCTCCTGGAAATGCTGTCTTCTGCAGTCTTTGTTGCCCTCTCCTTGGCTTGTTTGTATTTTTCAACCCACTTGTGATGATTATTGGTTATTAGGTTTTTGTGTTACGGGCAATTTTTTTTTACCTAATTCAATAAAATATGATGATGAGAAACAGAAATGCTATAGTGGTTGAAACACACATTTGTAAGCATATAAAAGCAGCAGTAGGTTGAGCATGTACTTAACTTCAGGTAAATGTGCATAAGATTACAACCTTATTTGTAGTTTCCGTCATCACCCTTTATTGATATGAAGTACAGGTTCCAGGCCTGGGAACAGTCAGCAGGGTCAGCCGAATGCAAGCGATCCCTCTGCAAGCAAGGAGAACCAGTTGTGATGGCTTCTGGGTTTTAGCAAGGTCCCTCAAGAGATCTTGCTTTCCAGGGTATCAGGATAGCTGTGTGAAGCTTCCAGAGGCCTCTGTGAGGTCTCTCCAGAACCCACTCACCACAACCATGTGACCTGGTAATCATGGCTTCAGCAGAGGCAGCAAGGGCAGCAGCAGAAAGCCATGAGGATGGCATCTTCCTATTTCGCCTCCTGTGGAGAAATGGGATGAGCCACCTGTCAGGGAACTGCCATCAGTGCCGGAGGGAGAGAGCAAAAGCCCGAGGGATTCCGGAGAGCGTCCAGGGATTGGGAGAAGCAGCCCATCTTCTGGGGAAGAGAATCAGCGTAGCACCAGTGGAGAAGGGGGGCAGATGGGGGAAGCGGCGAGGCGGTCCCATGACTCCTTGCCTGGGACCAGCGGGGAGAGTAGGGGTCCTCCGTTGCCCACGCCCTCCTTGCACAGAAGGTTTTCGCGCAGAGAGAGCAGGAGGAGACTAGGCGTCAAAGAGCTTCTTTGCTGGAAGAAGTTTAAGAAACGCCCACTGACGGATTCTGCCAGCGATTGAGTCAGCCACGGGTGAGCGGCTGTCCGGACAGAAAAGGTTCACTTAGGCAACCCAGCCAGGTGTTTGCACCCAGCCGGGGAGATAAGCACCGGCTTACGCACGAGCAACCCCTAGAACCATTACACCACCCCTGACTCTACTTCCTATTTCAGTCAAGACAGCACTCTACCACTTAGGAATTGAGAGCCTGAAACTCTTGTGCGACTTTCCAATCAGTACCAAAACAAATCCAATTATTGTTGAGCACCCACAACGTTGAGAATAGTACAACCATCCTCTTTTTGTACACCTGGAAATCATAATTCCAGCTGCTACTCTATTTTTTGTTAGTTTTTTGTTTTTGTGAGACAATAGTTGGTCTTGGAGCCTTGCACTCAATTTGATTTCAAAAGAGCAGATGTGCTGATAGACACATCTTGGGCAATATTCAACTCTAACTACTTCTGCTAGCAGAAGCCCTTGCAAAGATTTCTGCTGGTGCCATGAGGTCCACCTTTCCTTCATTTAAGTTTTTTTTGGAAAAAGAATTCCTATGTTGCTCTGCCTTAATAAAAGACATACCCCAGCTCTTCAGAGCTCCACAGGTAGCATTTTGGATTCAGGTAGGTAGCCATGTTGGTCTGATGCAGTCAAAATAAAAAATTAAAAAATAGTGCAGTAGCACCTTAGAGACCAACTAAAGTTGCTCTAGGTATAAGCTTTCATGTGCATGCACACTTCTTTTGTGCATGCACATCAAAGCTTATACCTAGAACAACCTTAGTTGGTCTCTAAGGTGCTACTGGACTATTTTTTAATTTTTTATTCAGGTAGCATTTTGGACAGCTTTACCTTGTAGGAGGCCTGCAAGGGACAGTTCAGAGGCTGTAACACAGATCAAACTGGAGAAGGCACAAAGTGACTCCAAAACAGATTGTATTTTTTTAAGAAATGTGCATAGATACAGATACAAGAAGAATATTGGGGCATGTGCACACTCCCAGAAAAAAGTAAATACAGTGGCATATACATTTTAACCCAGATTTTGGTGTCTAGATTGGTTCTCTGCATTCCACCTAGTGTATTATGGAATCTGTGGTGTCCTGTGAGGAAAAGGCAAGGCACAGGGGCGGATTTAGGGTAGTGTGAGTGGTGTAGTCACACTGGACGCACAAGAGTGGTGCCTTCTCAAATCCTGGCAAGCACTTGCCCGGCTTTGAGAAGGAGGTAGGAGGGCTCTAGGACCCTGCCAAAGCTTTGCCCCTCCTTCCCAAAGCCAGGCTTAAGATGGTGCTGTGAGGGCTGGTGAGGGGGTGTCAAATAGCCTCGCAAAGGGTGGCATATAACCAAGGGTCACCCCAGCATGACATTTATGACTGATTATTAAAAGTATGTTGGCCAAATCTTAAATTGGTTAATATGTTATTAAGGGTAATACAACATATAGGCTCATTCAGAAGAGGCAAATGTGCTTTAAAAAGATCCTGTTCAGATGAGTGCATTGTGAACTGCATAGATTTGCTTTCCTGGAAAGCATCTGTTAGGACTGCATGAATATTCTCTATTTCTATTTCTTGCCAGAAATAGCTATTTGATGAGGTAAACACCATTTCCCCAGAATACTTTCATAGTTCATATGGCCGGTCTGAATACACATGGGGGAGGCAGAGGGACTGACCGTATAGCAAGCTTCAATCCCTACATTTGATTTGCCATGTGAACAAACTGTGTACAAATTGTACACGTAGCCATTTCAGTGCAATTTTGGACCTTACACAGAGCTATAGGGTAGAGTCAATACACACAGCTAACTGAACACACAAAAGGTTGAGGTTTATGAAACTGATTAAATGCACTTAAAGTTTGCTTCTCTCCACCCTGCCAGTCTACCCAGATTGGTTGTATGAGCAGGAGTTGCAAAAATATTCACCTTAAAAAATTCCTATTCAGTGTCATTACTTTTTTAATTTCTGTTTTATTCACTTAGATGATCCTACTCAATTAATGACACCGCATCAGTATATCAATAACTTCACAGCCTTATAAGGTTTATATATGCAATTGAATTTGGCTTAACATGGATGCCATTGATCGAAACAAAGCCAATTCAGAATTATGACAATTCAGAACAATGGAAATGACCATTTTAAAGGAATTATTGAAAGAAACATCATAATGGGCATTTCAGCATTGCCAAAAGAGTGAGCCCTTTTGACTTTGCTGTAGAATAAATGCAGCTCTGTATAACTTCAAACAGCACCAAGAATTAAATAAGAATGACTAAAACTTTAGAACTAAAACTTGGAAGGAGGCTCTGTTCCAGTTTGGGGCACTAACTGTTCCCAAATTTATGATACAGGTGCAGGAGGGAAATTTAACTCTGTTGCATGACCTGAATCTCCCAAGCAGAAATTTTAGTGCAATTCTGATCAAGAAGAGTTCAGATAGTGTGTAGATGGATGGATGAATGGATGGAGAAATATGAACAAGACCAATTAAAAAATGTAAAAGAATTAGACAGGTTAAGCTTCAATCCTATGATCCTTGGGGGGGTGTCTCCAAGGGGAGGGGTATCACAAGATTCTGCAGATTTCCTCCTCTGCCTGTGGAGATGGAGAAGTAGAAGGTCCGAACACAAAGGCCTCCTCATTACAGCTCTGGAAACATCTGTGACTGTCCATCCTTGGTGCTCCAAGGCCAGAATATGTTTGCTCAAACAGGCAATGCCACCATATAGGAATATGGTGTTTCATATATTTCACCATATATGAAAATGTGTTTTCATTTGATCACATCTCCAGCAGGACTTTTTAAAATCAGGACCGATCTTTTAACAGGGGACCTTAGCACTTCTTATGGGCATGATACATAGATAAAATATGTAGGCTATTTTATTTTTTTCACACTGGGCTGTTGAGATGGGTTAACAGAGATTGTGTGCTTGGAATCAATATATAGTGTGATTAGAGTTAGAGTTTGTATTTGACATCTTTGTATAGAAATTTACCATTGCAACCTATCCACAGATCTGTGCTATTATATTTGGGATGTTTGCTTTCATTTTGAGTATTTTGAGCGGCTGGTGCCCTTTCTTCACTTTATTTTCCCCTGCCCTAGGGGGAAAAAACCCACCTTGACTACTAGTACAAGCTGAACGTATTTAGTGTGTCTCCAACTTCTGTTGAATTTATTTAAATATTTAAACACCACACGTCCATAACAATGCAACAAGGCAGTATGTAGCATACAAAATACTGGCTGGTGAAAAGGAATGCACAGTGCAAAGGCCTGTCTGAATAACACAATTTTTAGGAGATGTCTAAAAAGAAGGCAGAAATGATTCCTGCCAAATCTCTCCTGGTAGACAGTTCCACAGGGCAGATCCTGCCACATTTAAAGCTCGGTTGCTAGTAAAGGCAAATCAAAGTTCAGGGGCATGGGGAACCACCAGAAGTGTCCTGCCAGAGGATCTCACTGATCAAGTAGGGCCATGAGGAATCAGATGGCCCTTAAGATAATTTTGACCCAAGTTGTTTAGGGCTTTGTGAATTAACACAATAACCCTGAACCTGAGCCAGCAGCAAATTGACAACCAGTGCAGTTCTTTCAACAAAGGAATATCATGTTGCCAACAACCAGCTCTGTGCATTCCGCACTAGTTGCAGCTTCTGCACCAGATATAAGGGGAGCCCTACATAAAGTGTATTCTAGCTATCAAGTAATCTGTCTTTTTCATGCTATTGTCAGCCCCTCTTAATGTGGATTAGCCATAAGAACACACTAGGCTGAATCTAGAGGGACTTCCATCAAAGCTCCTGCATCAAAGGAAAGTCCTTCGGATCCAGCTTGCTCTAAAACAAATTTATTAATGATGGTGTATATTAATAAGGATGCACGGTATAGTGAATAGCTGTAATCTGTTGAATGTAGCTATTCATATATGAGTGCTACATTCTAGACAATTTTTTATAAATTTCTAAGAACTTAGAAATGCATTGATGAATGTTGACAGTCACCTAAATATGATTGCCGTTTGTCAGCGTTCACTGTTGTATGTCTGAGAAATGGAGAAATAGATATATGTTTTCTGACATTCAAAAAATTCCTTTGAGAGTGTCAGCATTCATAGGAATGTCAACACTCGCCAAACTGTGGACATTCACTGAAATGTATTTATCACATGCAGGGTTTATAACATCTCAATGACTTTGCAGTCAAAAGAAACCATGCAAATGTAGGCCAAATGCTGTTTACTTTCTAGTATGTCTCATTGAATTAAGATGCACCTATTCACGTGAAAAAGAGAGAAAGCATGCATAAGACTGCAAACTAAATTATTTGAATCCATAACAATAATTCATAATTTAGAACAGTGTACAACATATGACAATAATTCTGATGGTAAAGATGAGGGGTATAGGAACAGGTTCTTCCCTGCCTTATTTCTGTTTCATTTTAAATAAAATAAGTTGAGTTCTCAAATACCTGTACTTTTTTAATAAGCTGTAGACCTGCACCAGTGTAAGAAGCCCTTTCTAAATGTTTTGGCAAATGATTAGTTTTTTAATCTCCAAATTCACCAATCCTTTGAAAAAAAATCAATAAAATAAGAAATTCTCCCAAGAACAGTTTCCAACTGAAACTTCCCTTCCTTGCTTTTTTAAAAAATATATTTTTAAAAAGCCCTTGGAATGTATTTTATCATCTGTCAGTTTTGCCCTATGATATGTCCTCTTAAATTGGATCTGTAAGCCCTTCATAAAGTTTAATAAATCTTCAGCATTTCACCCTAAGGAAATTATATTAAAAACCTTCAAATGTGAAGTTGGGCCCGCAGACACACAGCGCTGGGAATTATATCACCATAATCAGCTTGTAATGAAAGCCTCTGTCGCTGTTCTCTCCCAATCATAGTCTGCCTGTCTTTATGGGGGGGGGGGAGAGGGGGTGTCTGGGTTCATCTGCAAGCTTTAATTGGAAGATGTCTTCATTTCATTCCAGCCTACTGGGATAATAACTCAGCCCTGTGTTTAAACACAGGCCCTTGCTGCTGATATTTTTTCATTTAGTAAAGCATGTCTCTTTAAATGATTTAGCAAATCATCAAGAATGCCAAGCCTCTGTGATTGGCAGCTGATTGCTAGTGCACCATTTGCATGACATTTGTTCTTCAGCTAAGAAAGCTGCAGCAGGTAAACAAGCAGGGCCTGTACTGACTCCCTCGGAGTCCCTTCCTGTTTATTTTCTCATAATCAAATGACATTTATGGAGAGGCAAATGCAGCTGCACATATATGGAGGGGGAAAATGTAATCAGGCTAAACATGATGACTTCATTCAGGTGATATTTTGATTAGAGAAAGGACATTTTTTATGACATAGGATTTCTTCCCAGGAAAATCAGTCAAATTTCATATTATAATCTCTAGCTTTTTTAATATAAAGGTTGGATTCCAACAATAGGCTGCTGGTTGATGGCACCATGGGGATTTGATTACAATATGTAGGAGCAAGCAATAAGGTGTCTCCTTGCTTCTTAATAATAAAGAGGGACTTTGGAACAAGAGAAGGTGCTACAGGCGGTTTCATTACATCTGTGTAGGTTTCCATAAACGAAACTTCAAAAAGGAAGGGTGCTATGAAGTTTAGATATTCTTAGATGTATATACCAGCTTACCAACTATTTTGGACAAGAACAAAGTATTTTGGGCAATGAGCAAATAACTTATATGGGACAATGAACAGGTCTTTTGTATAATGGAATACTCTTACAACAGGGGTGAGAAAATTTCAGATGTT